CGGGCCGGGCGGCTCCCCTCCGGGGCCCGGCGCGCAGGCTCTGCAGCCGACGAATGTAACCCTGGCGCAGCCGGCCGCGCCCCTACCTCCGCAGCTCCGCGCGCCTGCGACGCAGCATGCCCAGCACTTCGCCTACCCCCAGCCCCAGATGCAGCCCGCGCACTTGCTGCCGGGCCCGCCCTCGGGCCAGAGTGAGTACTTGCAGCCGCTCGCGGCCGCCTTCCAGCCGCCCAGCCCCGCGCAGCCCTCCTCCGCCGGCGCCGGGGCCGCCGCCCCTCCTGCGGCCAGCTTTCCGGTGGGCTCCGGCCAGAATGCCTCTTCGCTGGGTGTGCAGATGAGGGCCACGTCTTCCCAGCCCAGTGACGCGGTGGCCCCGGGACCGGGACTAGTACCAGGCGGGCAGGCCGCGCCTTGTCAGCCGGCTGGGGTGACCCCGGCTGCTGTTGGAGGCGTGGCGCAGCCGGGCATGGCTTCTACCGGGGCCGGGCCGCCTCAGTCCGTGCCTCCGCCGCAGATCGGTGGCAGTGCTCAGCTGTCAGCTGTGCCTGGTGGCCCTCACACCGTGGTGCCCGGAGTTCCAAACGTGCCTGCAGCCGTGCCCGCTCCCAGCGTGCCTAGTGTGTCTAGCACTTCTGTTACTATGCCAAATGTACCTGCGCCTCTGGCCCAGTCGCAGCCGCTAAGCAGCCATACACCAGTCAGCAGGAGCAGCAGTGTAATCCAGCACGTTGGGCTGCCCTTAGCTCAAGGCACACACAGTGCACCAACAAGTCTACCACAGTCTGACCTAAGTCAATTTCAGACTCAGACCCAGCCTTTAATCGGGCAAGTTGACGATACTAGAAGAAAATCAGAACCCCTACCTCAACCACCACTTTCTCTCATTGCTGAAAATAAGCCTGTTGTGAAGCCACCTGTTACAGATTCCCTGGCAAACCCTCTTCAGTTAACACCTATGAACAGTCTTGCCACCTCTGTGTTCAGCATAGCTATTCCTGTTGATGGTGATGAAGACAGGTATGGATATCTTTTTATTTTAGAAATTTGATAAGAACGGCCAATTTGGGATGAAACTTTGGTAGAGCTGTTTTTGAGTCCTTCGGTTTTAAATGTAAAACTTAGTTTATGTTTGGTAAACATTGATTTAAATTGCTGGAATAAGTGTGTAATAAGAGTTGGTCTTGTTTTTGTAAAAGCACTAAAATGGGTAGGAGTGTGACAGTGTTTAATTCAAAAAAACAGATTTCAGCTTAATCTTCCTTTAAAGGTGGTAGTTACTATGCTCCCATAGGGTAGGCCCTTTCTTTAAGTTAGCAGTCATGCTTGAACACTTTTGGTCGTTTTGTTAGTGTTATGTTTTGATGCTAAACTATGAATTTTTTTAGAAGTTTTCAATTCCAAAAAACCAGTGAGCCTTCTGGTTACTTCAAAAGAACCCATGTAAGGAATCTCCTCCTTTATATTTGGAAAGACTGGAGAGATAAAAGTGAAATGTCAAGTCTAGGTTTTGAGAGTCATTAATTATGAACTAAGTGTTCACCTTTTTAGTGAAAGGGGGTCACAAAGCTTCCCAGTGACTTCTTTAAGACAGCTGTTTTTTGTTTAAGCAAAAAATGTATTGGAAAGATGTTTTTACCTTCCATAAGTTTTTTACTGTGGGAAAGGGAGGTGTGAGATTTTCATAGTAGTAAAAACTTTAGCTGTTGAAATTAGTAGTTTTATAGTAAAAGTGTAAATGTCAGTAGTTGGCTCCCTCTATGTAAGGGATGCTTTATTAATGGTTCTTCAAGTGAAAACTGATGTTTTGTTACACCGTTTGCTACAACAGTTGATGTTTGGCTATGGTTTAAGGAGAATTTTTAGTGATTTTGAGGAAATATTACATGAAAGTTTGATATATATTGCAAATTTCTTAAAACCGACTTGTTACAGTGTTTTAAAAATTACAAAGAAAATCTCATATTTTGCAGTTCCACATGAACTTATTGAGGTTTTTGAGAGGTTAGTTTTAGGTGTGTTGAAAGATCAAAATTATTTTTATGGGTTTCTAGAATAATTAGTTTGTAGAAGAATACAGTGTAATGTTAAAATTCTTGTTCTTCCTGTTTCTTTAGCTTTCCCTTCTAATTAGCTTTATATTTTTGTTACATGGTTCTGTCTGAAAAATGCTTACTAAAATTCATTCATCTTCTCTGCTTTTTGTAATTTAAGTTCATCTTTTTTTGTAGGTGACTTTGCTTGTGGGACTCATATTTCACTTAAGAACTCTTAGAGAATAATATAAAGGAGCTCAGCTAGCTAGTTCTTGAGAGATTTTATATGGATATGATCACCAAGAATGTGATTCCACGAGCCATTCAAAAAATTCCTCTATTTTTCTGGTTGCTCCCATTTTACACATCGGGACACATACGAATAACTTGAAATAAACTTGTTTTTTTTTTACCTTTGCTAATAGTCAACAGAAATAGTCAACAGGAATCTTCCTTTTTCTAGCAGCCAGAAGCCAGTCTTTCCTGATAAGTTTGTAAATAACCTTTTCCTTACCTCTGTGTTCCTGTACATTGCCCCATATCTCTTCAAGAAGTGACTATGACTAGTTTCCCAACCTTCTTTCCTTTCCTTAAACATACATGTCTATGACTGAAGAATACATTTTCCCTCCTTCTCTACAAACCTCTCTCAGTTCATAGAATATGTAGTTATATGCCTCAGAATCTTAATAGGATGATATGGCATGAAGCAGAGAGATCTGTTGACAAGTGGAAGCTCTGAAATGCATTCTTTAAGTTATGATCTCATGACCACAAAGATGCATTTATTGTCCTTTTGTTGTATTAAAAGCTGGTAATCTCAGGAATCTCATTACAAAACATGTGAATGATTGAACTACCAATACTGCTGTATCATTTTTATCCTTTCAGCAGTTAAACTATAGTGCAAGTGTATAGTCCCATTTTAAAGATGGCATTTTTCTCCCACACCCCAGTCTCTTAAAATCTGCATTGCTAATCAAATGTGCATCTGCAGTATTTATTATAGCCTTTCCTTGGTATTTAATTTAACATGTTAGTTTCCAAGATGTAATCTTACACATTTGACATGTTATCACTAGAACAACACACCTGGTGAAGGAATGAATCCATTAAGTAGAAGGAGTATTTTTTTAAAGGAAAAACAGTTTTAAAAGAGAAGACATTTTAAAGTTTGACGCTTGAAATTGAATAACACAATTTTCCAGGCATATATTTAAATCACCAAGATGAATACTTTAGAGAGAACAATACTAACTAAAAATTTTAACATGGTAATTTTGGGTCTCCTTAAATTAAAATTTGCTACCATTTTATTTGCAGTCATTCAAATGTAAAATAAAGAAAATTGGAATGTGAGATCTAGAGTAATTAAACTTGGTGAATAGGTTGACAGATTCATATCCTTATGAAATATTACAAGTAATGTTTGCCTTTTTTACAAAAAATAATTTAGGACTTTATTAGACAGTATTTTGAGAAATGGAAGGAAAATGGGAGAATAAAAACTGAAGTGGATTTTAGGTTGATACATTGAAAATATCTCATGATTTTGGTTCCATTACCCAATACAGATTGTGATCACTTATATTAAGAATCTGGCCTTATGTTAGTGCATCCTAATATTATCACATCTTTAAAAGGGTTCATAGTTGCATATGCAAAAAGTTCTCAGATATCATTGCCTGACCATGGTATCTTCGTAGCCATTAGAAAGGCATATGGTTAGTTGTTGAGACTTTATCAGACTAATTTTATATAAACTGGTGGATGTAATGATGGTTGAACCAGTTGTCTGGCCACTTTTACAGTGATCTTTCAAAATTTTATTTAAACTACCTACACATTTAACAGACTCTTTTACTGTAAATGGGGAGATGTATAAAATTTACTGGCCCTAAAAGGAACACAGTACAGATTGCTTTCCATAGATAACCAACCAACATGAACTCAGTAGGCTGCATTCCAGGAACTCATGAATGGCTGCAATTGTGAACTGTCAAATGCAGTCCAAGACTGTTGAAAACCTGATTGTAAAGATCCCTTAGTGGCATGTATCTCTTAACCTTGTTAATGGTTTTATTTACGTAGTTTGTTAATGACTACTGATAAAATATTATAAATTGTGAATACTAAATGATGTGCTAGAAATATAATTTTATACATACATTTTTTTAATGGAGCGCTTTTTGTTTTTTAACTTGAAGTTTGAGAGGATCATGTCTACCAAGAGGCAGAATTGTTGACGTATAGGCACTTTTTAGAGCTATGTTAGTTGAATGCCTTACTACATTTAAGTCTAAAATTGTGGAGGTAATTTTGCTCCTCTCTCTTTACAATTGATGTGTAAATCACACACTAGATATATTATTCAGGTCCTGCGGCTATAGGTGTTATAGGTAAAGGTATAGTGCTTGGCTAGCATGTTTGTTCCCTGGATTCAATCTCCAGCACTGCAAAAAAAAGAAAAAGACCCAGATTTGGAAATGGTGTGATACTGGATTTATAGATCAGCTACTTGACCATTTGGAGTGGAGTGTAACTTTTCTCTGTACCAGAGAGATTGGAAGCAATTATGTTCTCTAGTCATCACCACTAAGGAGTAGTAGCCCCACCAAGGTAATGGTAAAAAAATAGACAAATAAATCTCTTTCCTAATAGAGGAATAGGTTAGGAGAGTATAAAAGGATTTTGGCTTTTTTTTTTCCTCTAAAATGACAGAAATTGGAGATGGAAGAGTATAAAATGATAGGAAATAATCAAGATGGAAGAAAATATAGTAAGAATTACCTAAAATATGGTCTTAAGGGATAGGAACACTTGTAAATGATGAGAAATAATTAATTTTTTCCTTTAATAAACTGTTTTAGATCAGTATATATTTCATTTTGTGAAGATATATTGTTTATTTCTTAGTTGTATTACTCTTTAAATACTTAACTTTGAGGAAGGAGAAGCTTTACAAAAGCAGATCTGTCTGGTTAAAGGTAGCCTGAATGATGTTCTCTAACTAATTCCTTATAAATGGAAAGAGCAGATTTTTTAAAATCAGAAATCTTAATAGTTAACAGTATTTATAGGGAATATTGCTGCAAAACAATTGCATTGAAAAAAAACATCCTTTGAGCGTATAGTTTTTCTTTAAATTCAACCAGTGGGCTTGTGATTTAGGGCTATCATTTTAGAGTGTATAATACTAATTACTGCATCCACAAAGAATATGCATACCTGAATCATTGACTTAATGTCTTTCCCACAACAAATCTTTGACATACCAAATTACTCAGTATTTGCTATCTTCTTAATCCGGCATTGTTTAAGGCAAAAATAGGGTCTCTCCCATTAAGATTTAGGAAGAGTAGCCATTTTATATCATTTCTATTTATCATTCTATGACACTAATAAATATATTGTATATACTATAAACTTGGCTGTTTATATTTAAGGTATATTATTTGACAACTTTATCTTTAAAATATTTACATAATCTCTACTTTTAGATCAAGTAAATTGGATATATATTACACTGCTCAAGACCTCTCATATTTAAAACCGCAAATCAGACCTAAGTTTGTAGTCTTACATTTCTTTCAACTCATGTCAACAATTGTTTTTAAAAAAAAATGAGCGCTTACCCTTTAAGTTGTACCACTGTGCTAAGTATTTGATACAGTTGAATGTAAGCTAGTTGTTTAGTTCTGTAAATCTTGTTTCCTCCTGTGAATATAACACCTAGTTTGGAGAGTACAGAAGTAGTAAGTTAGGTTTGCAAGTAATATATGAATAACCAGTAACATAAGACAATTTGCATGGCTGGCATACATCACAGAAATGTGAATATAGTATTTCAGGGTGTGAACTTTCTCGTGTAGTCCCTTGTCATACTACAAATTATTCTGAGAGTTTTCAGTTTTGATCTGCAAGTGTAATTGTATAGTATGGACTTACAGAAAAGGAGACGCTGTTTTAGGTCAGACATCATGG